TAAACTAAATTAATACAAGAACCAATGATGATTACAGAAGATGATGATTAATATTAATTTCTAGTATTTAAGATCACAAATCAGAGCTGGTACAACATGTACAACATGATTCAAATAATACAAAAGCTGTGAAATAACCCTTTATCCAATCTAATAAAAATATCATAAGTGTAGTTGGACAGTTTCAGTTATACAGTCTCAAAAAACATGGTCCAACTTGCTTCTGGGCTTCTGGGAAATCAATGTCTGCCCGACTGTCCGTGCATCCAATAAATGTTAATATTCATAAATCAATGTTTGTGTACATTGTTGAATAAAGTTAATGATTTTCATATATGAATGTAAGTATAAGAGTCACTGGAATGTAATTGGACGTTAATGTAAACATCTTATTCTGACACTGAAAATGTTATAAAAAATCTTTAAATATTTCAGACAATTGATACTTTCGGATGGATAAATATCAATCCCTAGAGTAATGTTTGTGTGATTTTTTTGTTTCATGAAAGTGAGACCAACTTTAAGAAAATCTTTCAGAAGTTAGTAGTTTCACTTTTCAGATACTCAACCACGGGGTTTGTTTTCAATCGCTTTTCCTTTTCTTAGTCATTTGAACACATCAGGGGAAGATTACATAAAAAGGAATAAAGCACTGTCTTTGCTTCCCTTACTTAGATACTAAACTGAGCATAGCCTTCACAGTTGCTCAGATGCAAGTTTCAAATGCATCAGCAGGCTATTCAGTGTGTTGATTCCCTGGTTTGCTATGTTGGGCACTGAGAAAAGCCCTCAGGCAGCTTGTGCTCAGTGATGGATCAGAGACAGCTGTGCTATGACGAACAGAACGAAAGGTACAACTCCTATGCTCTGATCATAGCCCCTGTAGCTTTGGCTTCCCCTCTATAACTCTTCTTTTACCTGGCACTGCACTGGTTTTCTCAGAGGGGGGCCTTTCCAGTAAGAGATGCATATGGGTTGGGGTCTTTTTCACAGATATGTGTGAAACAAGTAAATCTGCAGGTATCTCACTGAAAATAGTGAATGATGATATAAACTTTAAACAAAATGCAGGATCTTCTATGCATTTGTGTATGCATTCAATGCAGTCCGTGAGTTTGTAATAGAATGTATAAGAATATATCTACGTGTGAGTCTAAGCTGGGACACCATTCATAAATGTCCATCACAGTAACACAGTGTGCTGATCACAGCTAAACTCTCCCTTTTTATCCATACGCTGCTCCTCTCTTTTGCTGGCCCCAGTGGATGGACACAAACACTAATGGCTGCTCGTTAAAGAGAAACACCAACATGAAAAAGGGCTTAATGAGCTGTTTTCTGTTTGTAGTTTTCTTTGGGGGGAGGCATTGTTATTGGTGAGGAATTGATTGGCAGCAGTTCCACACCCTTGGGGGTGTCATATTCTGGGAAATAGTAAAGTTTTTCTGCTGCTTTGTTTGGATGTTTGCTGGTGGACGATGTGTCTGTGTGCATGTTTTTTATGAATGACATTGAGTTTTCTGTGGAGTTTAGAGAGGAAAGAGTCAAAACAGATTTGTTTCTTTAGTGTTAACATTTCCAACAAGCTGCAATTTTCACAGTAAAACTGCAAAAATTTTTAAGTTTCAGTAAGTGCACTCTTAAGGAGGCTTTATTCCTTACAGGCTGTTTCTCAAGGGTTTTTTTTTTTGTAGATGTTGCAGTAAAGCTTTGTACCTTTCTTGTGTTTGGCTACCAGAATGGCATACTTAAAATGTACCAGCAAAGAAAAGAAAAAAGAAAATCCCCACACATTGATATTGTGAACAGTAGAGTGATTCTACGAAAATAAGGTTAGAGAATAACATAGAGGTTAAATAGGTTTTGCACTATATTCAGTACACTTTTATAAAGCTATACAAGGGAATTTTCTTGTGGAGATGATGTTTTCAGAGTATGAAAGACAAAATGGTCTTGAAGTTGGCATTTCAAGGTGTCTTCATCTTATGTGATCTTAAGGAGGCTTTATTGTAAACGACAGTGAATGTAAACAACAGCCTCAGTGTGTAGTTCTTATATTCACACTTTCCTCACATCTGAGACCTTGAGAAGGCGGCCAGCATTTCCAAATTCTGCATGTTATGTAACAGATAGAAATTAAAAGATCACACAAATAAAAAGAAAACAATTCTTCGACCATTAGCCTCTGAGAAAGTTCCTCAGTTCAATGTGAAACAGTCCCAAAATACAAAAAGCAGAGAAAAGAATCAAGATTGGGGAGTAAAATTCTAAGTGTGAGGAATATAGAACTCCAAATGCAGCACACGGATAGCTGTCTGTTGTGTGAGCTTTTTGGACATGAGAAGTGTGCCTTTGACTAGGCCGTGTGGGTATGGTTTTGCATTTGTTAAAATATTGTGTCTGTGAATATATACATATGTTCACAAGTCACAGCATTTCAAATGTATTTGTCATAACTGGTGATTTTTATAGTATGACATCACCTTTTTTATTTGGCTCTATTTTATTTTAACAAAGTAAAATGAACAAGGTTGAACAATTATTAAAAATATTTTGTCATAGATTATTTATGAATGTTGCAAATTGTATATTAGTTTTGTTGACTTTATCTTTCTTAGATTGCAATGATTTAACTTAAGTTAGGTGGTAATTGTTCAGTTTTTAATAATCTTTGTTTTTGGCTTGTTCTTATCTGACTTATGATGAAGAACAGCTTACTTACATGAATTGTTTTTCCTCATGAATGTGTGGCTGTATCTAGGTCATGGAATATTGTTGGTTTTATTGCTAGATTTTGTTAAACATTTACTACACTCTTCAGTTTAGTGCCCTTGAATGTCCACTTCCATCGTGTCAAAAAACTAATGAAGCTCAAGAGGCAAATGTTCCATAAGAATTTGTGGAAAGACAGGACTACACAGGATAATAAATGCTAGAGTTGAAGTTATTTGGCAGAAAAAAGGTGGAATCTAATGTTAAGAATTGCAAAGCATTCATGAACAAGAGACTGCTTCTTTTTGAAGGACTAGCATTTTGGATCTACAAAGTAGCTGCATAAAATTATTTCTTCACAAATATTCTTTAAAGGTCTGTTTACTAAAGTATCTAATGGTTGTGTTTTGGCTTGTTGAGGGCATCCGTCTATTTTCTACAGTTAGGATTGTCCATGGTTGTGCTAAGTTAGAGAAGAAGTTTCTTTCAGATATTTTATCCAATGCATGAGATGGACAATTATGAAATACAACACACAATAAAGCTCCCCTCTGAAGGCAATTTAACAGCGTTTATTGATGATCATGGTCAGCACTTATGAAGGCTGGCCTTGTTTCAACACTAGCCATAAAAAACACCCTTGCAGCTGTTGAATAAAGTAATGTATTGATTAACGTAATATATTGTTTGCAAGAACAATAAGAGATAGGTGCAAGTTAGTAATTCTTCTTACTCTGAGACTAAGAATACAGAGGTTTGCTTATTGAAAAAGAAATTGCTTATTGTTAAAAAAGGATTAAATCAAGACAGAATCTCAGAACATTGCTAACAGAATGTTCCTGATGTGATGACATGGCCATGAATTGTTTACATCCTAGACATTTGCCTCATATTCAGTCATTGTGATGATCTTTGCTCAATAACATTCAATTTTCCGCATGAAATTACATTTTGAAGTCAAATATAAGCGTTGTCTTGTTTGTATTAATGTATAAAGTCCAAACAAATTCATACCAACAAGTTAATTGTATTTGAGGGAAATATTGATATTTTGGAGTGGTCCAGACAGAGTCCTGATTGATTCAGATAGAGAGGGAGCAAAAATATTACCACTCTGGCAAAGAGGATTTCCAGCAATGTTCCAATGCATGGGACTCTTTCAGATAAATTATGTAGACATACAAAAAGCTGGCCGGCTTTTCAAAAAGTATACTTGATTGCTGTAATTTGAATGCAATTTTTTTTTCTCCATTAGTTATTGAGAAGGGTATACAATTTTGACATGCCATTTTTTGAAAGAAAAAATCCACAACTTATTATATTTTACTGATGCTCCTTTTATGTTGTTAAAGTATTTTCAGGTATCAAAAATTAAACTTAATGGTTCAACAAAAATCATTTCTGCACTAAATATGAAAGGGTTATAAACAACTCTGAGCTCAACAAGGTTTCTATTTCTATAAAATTCCACCTATTGAACATTTGCAAAGAGAGAACACTTGGATAGATGTGATATGTTATTTTTATGTCTCTGACCAAAAGCTAGGTGATCTTGCCAGAACCAATTCAAAGGTCGCGGATCTTTCTTCTGCTAGGCTGAAAGAACCGTGTTTGTTACCGGCTGTATTTGAATAGTGCTAATCTACGCATCAAGAAGCAGCATTCAGTCTGCACTTGGATGATAAATGCAGTTGGCATACACCAGAGCCAGGCTGAATTTCAATAAACCACATATGAAGCTAAAAGAGGGCCCCCAAAGCAGCAAGACTCCATCTATGATTGTAGCCTTTTCTAACCACAGTGCCTCAAAAGCTGACTCAAGATGAGAAAGATAGAGCTATTATTTAAAATTGTTTCAAAACACAATTTTTTTTTCCACCATGGTGCAATCCAGTTCCCTGAGTGGCAACTTGAAACTGCATTGGATTGTTCAGATAAAGTCGTTGCACGAGATTCACTTAGAAGTCATCACCGTGCGAGATGGGCTCTGGACTGCAGGATTCAAAGTGATCAGCTTTCACCTGCTCATTTCAAAAGTAAAACAATATATCCGACTCCTTCCCAGATAACCACAAAATACTCTTCACAGTGTTTTCATTATTTTTTTGTTTTACCGTTACCAGTTTTGTTTTGTGATTTTAATAAAGAAAACTATTTTGTGAAAGCATCCATGTGGCATTTGCCTATTTCTTGTAATCTCTTTCAAATCAGCCTCCATGCTGTATTCATAGAATTTGTGTTATGTGTCCTTCACTCACACAGAGCATGCGTTTGTATGATATTTGCAGGGAATTTGGCCGTTGGAAGGTGAACAGCTTGGCCCTGGAGAGACAAGAAAACAATGGCTTTTCGTTGCCGCTGGACCCAGAGTTCCTCCAGACCATTAGGCAGCTGGGCAGGAGGCCCAGTCTCAGAGCCATCACTGACAACCTCATCAGGAAATACGGAACCCACTTCCTGCTTTCCGCAATGCTGGGAGGTAAATAAAACAAGACGGGCAGTGTTTTTATTTGTTGTTACTGACCTGCCTTAACAGACAGGGAGAAACAGAGCGGCAATGGGGATTTTATATGGCTGAGACGTGGAAGAAAACCTCCTTTTGACACAGTTTTAAAGAAATGCAGTTTGATGATTTTATACATTTCACCATTGTTGAACTTGAGAAACTGACATAAACATGAAAACAAATAAAACACAATACACATTAGATGGAAATTGCCAATTGAATTGGATAAAAAAGGTGAATAAATTACATTCATAACAATTGATAGCATTGTCAGATCCATTTCTTCTTCAACTTTAAGGTAAATGATTTTACATAGAAAAAAAAACACTTTTTAAAATTATTTTAATTTCAGAATGCTACAACGAATAAACTGGAACAGCTTTCATTGTGGTCGTAGAAAGAAGAGATAGCTCCTCTGGAGTGAAATTGTTTGGGCTCATGTTTTGTTATTAAACATGCAAAACAAATGTCTTTGATGTTTCTATTGAAATAAACTGCCACTGGATCCTTTCCAGAACAATAGATCTAAGTTAGCCGGAGTACTGCAATGTTCAGCACAGCGTCTGAGGCTATCGTGTGCATTGTCTCCTCCCTTTTGCTCCTCTGCTGATTCCTTTCATCCTTTTGTATTTGTGTGGAAACTCTCAAATGATGAATACCAGCAGTATTAAAAAAGTAAATTGCAGTGTTGCCCATTATTTGCTGGAAAATAAGGGAGATAAACAAATTCTGACAAACAGCTCACAGCATTACCTCTGTCCTGTTTTACGGATCCCCTGTAGAAGTTAGTTAATATTTCAAAGTGACTTGTCAAAAAACATGGTGTGTATTCTTGTGCCTAAAAAGATGTTAACTCTATTTGCATTAAATATGTACAATACTAAACCTAATTCATAATACACAAGTCGCATCCCTTTGTTATTGCCAGTTATGTACTTTTCTGCAGGGTTTCTAGTCCAATGTGAATTCAGTTTCCAATTCTTTAAAGGTACATTTTAAGGGCTGGAACTTCTAATGCTTGAAATTTTGATTAATTGTTGAAAAAAAAATGTAACTAAAAAACTGCATGGTTTAATAGCACTTCAGTATGTAAACCCATATACCATGTGTACTGGTGTTTAATTAAATATATATGATTGGAAGTAATTGCAGAGATAATGATCTGCGAAGCACTCATCCTCATTCATCTTTAGCTGCTGGTGGGGAGAGAGTAGAGGCCAGTGCTCTACAATCACCATGTCACGTGTTTAAAGTGGACTATTAACAGGACTGTTCGTAAAGTTGAAATGTGCTTGCGAGAGTAATCTTCACAGACGATTTTACTCCAGAGTCCATCAAATATGTGGTGGAATGAGACATCCTGACAAGGTGGAAAAACTAACAAAATAAAAAAACAATAAAACACTGAAACATGTGTTGATAACGAGGATCAACTTAGACTTTGAGTCATATTTTTCTGAATTTACCTGAATTAAAATGAATAAATTGGAACTTAACTGCATTATAAGAAATCAGCACAAAACATAAAGAAATTAAATAAATGATAATTACAAACTTTTAAGTGTAGCAGATATGCAGAGGATCTCTACAAAGGGACAAATATGTTTTGTTTTTTTTGTTTTTTTTCCAGGGTAGCCCATATGAAGACTGCATTTTTTTTAATCGGTAATCTTTATGCTAATACAAAATTCTTTCAACATTATGATGATGTGTTTAAAACAAATATAAATTATTTTTATGTACTTTACTCTTAAGTGGAATTTTGGGAGGATATACATTTCGAAACTGTGTCTCCACAATCCATACGGCACAAAAAAGGATGTTTTGAAGACACTAAACAACCAGTAATGATTATGTGCAGGCTTATGTGCTCCCTAATTTTTAGAATGCAGTCCCAAAGGACAGATTCTGGGATTTTGTCTTTTCTCAATATAAATTCTGGAAACTTTTCCATTTAACATGATTGGATATTTGTGAACACTCTTTTATGTAGCTATGGCACATCAGATAGAATGTCACATCATCCCAGCACCTTTGACAAAGCAGAAGTTTCTGACACCCAGAGAATAAAGTAGATCAAGTGTTTCAAATCCTGGATATCCATCCAAAACTGCAAGTTCACAGCTTGCTTTGCTGTTTGTGTTGCTTCATTTTTCTGGCATAGAACCACCACTTGTAGATCAGTGGAACAGCATGGAGCTGCTGGCTTCAGTGTGCAGTTGTGTTTTTGCTTCATAAAGAGGATAATCTAGTTCCTACAAAACAAAAATAAAATAAAACAGTCCTACTAAACTTCAAATTGTCTTTGAAGAGCAAAGAAAAGTTTCATAATGAGAAATAAACATAATTGTTCAAAAGAACTTCATAATAAACATTTCAAGATACAAAAAAGTCATGTGTAAATACACAACAGCAGCCATATTTAGCCAAATTTTTAAATAGGGCATTTTTCTCTGATTGAATACAGGCAAGTCAGATAAACACAAAACATAATTTTTCCAATTCCTCTAAAAATAGTAAAACAAAGAAGTCCCGTAATTTGGGCTTTTTAACTACATCAACCAAAACTTGCATTTCATGGTCTCTCTTGTTCATTAAAAAATAAGTAAATCGCTGCCACTTTTCCTACTCTCCATAAAAAGGGAAATATATTGCGATTTCTTCATTTTAAATTTTATCCACAATTTCTACCTCTGTCAAAGAAAGTGCAACACATTACACTATTATGTTTTTTAAAATCAGAAATGGTCACAATTAGCATCTTCCGGTCAAACCCTATGGGAAGCTGAAACTGGTATCGGCCTTGCAAATCGTACACTACACATTTGCAAGAGATTCTTCTACAATGAAATGTGTGAAATAAGGAGAGATACTAAAACCACACTGCAAACTCATGAGTAACATCATATTTCATTAATGCATAATTGTGATAATACATACATATATTATTTTAAATGAGAAGAACTGTTTTGCTGCAGACATGTTAACAATAAACTATCACCAATAATCTGGTGTCTGCAAACAAAAAACACTTTTCCCATAAAACCTAATCCCATTAGAACAGATTTTTTTCTATCGATCTTCCACTCTTTACACAATCTACCAATGCACTGTCCTCTGAGAGCTTTTGCTCATTTTTATTGGAAGATATATTCCATGAAGTGTCTTGGTTTTAGCAGCACTTATTACATTGACATTTAGGCTGAAATAAAATTTACACATTTGGATTTTAAGGTGTTCTCACACTCTTATGTTTCTTGTTCCGTATGATGGCCCACTAGATGTGTTCAGGTTAGTTCATCTACATTAAAAATATTATGTGTTCAGAGGGTTATGACTCATAAAGAATGAAGCTAGTCTATGTGTCACTGTCTGTGTCTGTGTCTGTAGGGGAAGAGTCCTTAATGATCTTTGTGGACAAGAGAAAGTTGAGTCGGACGTCTGAAGCGAGTGAATCCAACGGCACAGCTGTGACGCTGGAAGCTCTGCACCAGCTGGCTGCCTCCTACTTCATTGACAGAGAGAGCACCTTGCACAAGCTGCACCACATCCAGATCGCTTCCACTGCCATCAAGGTAAAAGCCTTCTTCCCACTGGGTTTCTATTGAAGACAATGACACAATTAGTTTATACCAGATTTAAATTAAACTCATTGTTGGATCTTTTCTGTTTTTTTTTTTTTTACTTGTGATTACAGTTTTTGAATGAAACCAGTTTCAAGTAGCCATTGTATTATTTGTACAAACTTGTGTGTTTCTTTATGCCAGCTGGTCAGAATAAGCTCCTTAATAAGATGCAGACTGATCTATAGTCATGCTTCTAATTGTGTTCCATCTCTTGAGGAAGAATCAAAACCAATTAAGTAAATCATAAACACCTTATGACATACAAATAACAAACTTTGACCTGCTCCAGGCATTTTAGTATGATTGTAAAAAACGTACTTAATCAGATTTTGAAGCACATTGAAATTCTGTCATACACACAGACTAATACACTAGAGTTACTTTCTTTGTGCTTTTGATGAATTAACCATTAAAAATGTACGCACTTTAAGATCTCATCTAATGTTCTTGCTTGAAATTGGAGACCACACTTTTAATGAGCCAATCAATTCATTACTGAATAAATTTGCCAAGAAAATAGTGTACATCTGCAGTTGTCATGGGATTTTTTTTGTCCTTGATAGCAAATAAATTGCATCTATTTACCTGTCTAAATTTGAAAATCCTCAAAAAAGACATGAAAGTGAAAGTATTCAATTTGGCTGAATTTATGAAGTACTTACTCATTTTACCAAATTCACTGCTTATGGTTGTAATTTTTCTGTTATTTGCTTAAATTAAAACATTTTATGTTATTTAAACAGACGCATGTCTCGGTGACATCTCCGCAAGATAGTCAGACCACTTTCTCTGTCAAATATTGAATTACAATGTGAGGACAACTTTCATCAAAGGGCAAAAACTGAAGAAACACACCTTAACAGCAACAGGCTCATCAGGGGTTTCCAACTGTTCCAGGCAACGGCCTCCAAAATGGCAATAGCTTGTGACTGGTGAGCCTTTTTGCAAACCTACAGACAATTCTACAACATTTGCAAAGATTCATAGTTTTACATTGTTTTCTGAATTTTTTTTTAGCATTAATGCTGTCTCATACCTTCTGATTTTCCTTGGCAATGAGTTCTGTGGTGGGAAATTTTACCAGGTAATTTATTATGACTTTAATAAAATTATTATCAATATTTAACCAGATTAAATTTTCCACCACAATACCCTCCTTTGATAAGAAAATAATTATATTTTTTTTCTCACTTACATACATTTTGCTTCTCAAATAGACAGGCCATTATGGGGGATGGCATAACAGGAAATAGAACTTGAATGTTTCCAAAAATCTGTTGAGAGGAAGTTGACCAAACATATTTAATCATTGTTTCTAAAAGGTTGAACAGGAGAGGTACCAAGAGTTTGTAGAGAAAGTGAAGTAGTATCCCACCAGACTAGTTGCAGTTGCAGGGTGTGTTGTCTACCAGTGACAACACACCTTATACAAAAAATAGATTCCTGGGGTGGGTGACAGTTGTTTTAGCTCACTCACTTGGCCAACTTACACTTGGTCAAGTTACTCATCAAGTGTGTATCTCTAGATGTTTACAGTTTATTGTGTAACTTTCCTGTATTCTTTCAATAAATTGGATTTACTCACAATTTAAGCAGACCCTTCCTGATGAACACAGTCTTAGATGCCACGTAGAGAAGAAGAGATCATATGTGGCAATCTCTATTAACCTGCATAAGGAACATCATTTTCAAGCATGTGACTTATTTCACTTTCCATTACTTTCTGTTTTGCTGTATGAGCTGTGCTTTTTGTTACAACAGTTTTGGTAGTGTCCTTACAAACATCACATTACCTAACATTTGTGATATTTTAATGTGAGACTTGAGGATATAAGCATGCTCGGTGAGGAAGCTTCTTTTTCGTGTGTGCTTTCATAAGCTCACATATGGCACAGCCTGCTTTGCATATAAAGATATGCTTATGATATAAATATCACTACATCTTTTACTGCTTAATAACTTTGAGATGAGTACATTCATCACTGTGTCAGTTGTTATCCAACAACATAAGCAGAATAAGTTCAGTTTGTCTTTCTCACCAGCATTTTTAGGCATTCTGAGGAAACATTTCTCGCACAGGGCTTTATTGTGCTTACACTTGCTTGCGGTAAACAACAGATTAACGTCACAGAATGAAGATAATAAGAATAACCCTCTGCCACACCAATCTGAAGCACTGCTGGCTTCCTCTGCCTTTTTCCTTTCCCTGACTGTATCTGCTGGTGCAGTGACAGTTTGAGACTGAAATATTCTCTGACCTCACTGAATAATCTATATTTATACTCCAAGACTTTCTCCATAAATATTCACTTATTTACTGGATTTAATTGGTAGTGATTGCAATAATTGTGCGTGTTGGACTTCAATAAGCCTAACACGCACAATTTTTATGTATGTGAAGCACTAAGCATGAATGAAAAAAAAACAATGTTATTGTAAAAATGCATGCCATCAGTAAAGATTTTATGAGATGTTAGAGAAGAAGGGACACTCTCGAGTAAACAGAGCTGTTAAATAAAGAGCTCAGATCATTTTTTTCTTCACAATGTCATTCAGGCTGAAATTAAAGACAAAAAAAACCAATAATTATTATATGTGGAACATTCTGGTGCTTTAAGCATGGCAGTTTTATTAGCTGTGACATACAGCCCCTTGGCTGTATAAATATGCTCATTTAAACATGTTTGTGATCAATTCTTAGATCGTCTTCCTGATGATCATAATCTAAGCTTTTGGTCAGCTTCACATAAGGATTTATATTATTGAACTGTAATATGTGAACGTTGTTATTCATGCTTATAGCTGTTTAGGTTCAATGCTGTTGCAGTGCAACTGTTAGTATGTATTTTTATTGCATTAATTTGTCTGTCTCCTTCAATACAAGCAGCTTTGTAAAATTTATGTTTGATATTTAAAAATAGTTGCTAAGAAAATACTATTAGCAAAAAAGAATACATTTTAATATTTATACCATGTTTGGTTATGGCTTGGGTATACCTTTCTAATCTTCCAGCTGAAAGACCAGATTCTGGATCAGAGTCTACATTAATGCAGTAAGGAAAGGATAAGTGGTGCTACCAATCCAAAGCCATTTTGGGTGAAACCTACATGCTGGAACGTAACCGCTTTTAACATTATGGTAGCACTTCTGATTCTGCAACGCCCACATGCTGTTTGAAAGCACACAGTGGGATGGCAATATGGTACCTCAGTGTGAGGAATAAGTAAAGGGCAGTTTCTTTTTACAGCAAAGTTGAATTCCAAAAATCTGAGGGTTGCCTCCTCTGAACTGGTGCGAAACCTAAGTTACCATGGTGATCTGCTCAGGCTGAAAGACCTGCATTTGAGACACCGAAAACTCAAACTCTGGGCTTAACCTATTCATCTTACTCTGTAGTTGCTCCTTTGTTTCGTTCTACTTAATACTTTCACATTTCATTTATAACCTGAAAGGTAGGCGAGCTGGTCAGATCTTAATGCGTGTGAAGCCAGAGTTCACATGTAGGATTTTAAGGCCTGTTTTTGAATCGTGGATCCATAATATCAACATTTGTATAGGTCCTATTGGGCTCGTAGATAAAATAAATATGCCTCATATAATAAACATGATCAGGCTAAAAAAGGAGTGCATATTTTTCTAAATGCTTCTTCATTATGTCAACAGTAAGATTTGAAAAATTATTTCATGCTGATCAATTGATTAGTCTCTCAATAAAATATATAATGATACATAATAATAAGTAAATATTCATCAATTTTATACTTCAGACGTAAAAGAGAGATTAGAACAAACTAAAATGGAAAGAAAATTCTAGCATAGCACTGAAATATGTAGCACATACACATGCACCTCTTAACGTTATTCAGTATTCTATCATTGCCGGCCATATTTTCTATTACACATAACAGTACATTGTTGGAACATGATGTTGTGAGTGGGTGGAAACATACATTAGGAGCTCTTAGCTTTCTGTTTGAAAAGTAGACACATAATTCTATTCTCCTCTTTCAGATCCAGCTACACCGGGCTTGAAAAACTAGATTATCTGCCTTTTTTTTTTTTAAACTGCAACCCATTTTTCATTGATGTATCCTTTGTGACGCTCCACTACAGAGTCCATCAGAGATAAAATTGTACTTTCTCTAAAGTGACTTGGGAGGGGATGGTGAGCTGATTTGGCTGCCACCCCTGAACCAGAGTGCTGCTAAAACCCCCCTGATTAAGATAAATAGAGAAAAAAGCCCTTAGCGGTGCATTTGTTTTACGGCAACTTCAGGTGACTGATGTGAGATATTCAGAGCATCAGCTGCCACTGTTATTCTAAATGAGGCTCCCTTCCTTTACCCCAATAAAGTCAGATGCCAAAACAAAGCAGCCTTTAAGGCAAATGTGGATCCTCTGGTTGTATGAGATAACATATTTAAATAGCAGGAATGCCTGACCTCAAACCCTTCAGGACTCAACACAGCAGTGGAAGAAAATAATCAAAAAAGAAAAGAAAATGAGATAGGATGAGTAAAAAATGGCACTCCTTTTACACAGAGTGATGAATCAGTCCTTCCATTTCAGTAATTTCCTTTGAGAGCCACTGTCATTTGTCAAACATTGTGTGGTATGAGTTAGGGTGTTATATGCAACTGAACAGAAGAGATGAGACAAGGACATGAAAAGACTTTATCCACAGGGCCTTTTTGCCAAGGTTTTACAGAAGCTGCATTTTCGCAGGAAAGTTTTTGCTCACCTTTATAATAGATAGTTAAGAGTCCAGCCTCTTGTGCATTGAAGATGAATTAAATATAAAATTTGAAGACAAAACCATTGGCAATGAAGAGGTGTGAAAGAGAATGTCTATTCTAATTTGCAGTGCCATCCTTGAGTGTTCAGTCAGTCATGTGGTGTCATACCTCCTTTGCCTGAGTCAAAGTAAAACTCAACCAGAAGAAATTAC